TTTGAAATCATTTTACTGTAAATATTATGCGAAAAAACGTAATAGGAAAATACAAGAAGGAAAGTCGCATAAAAGTAAAGTATCAAAAATGTTAGAGAATTTCATATTTTTTAAATTAAACATTAATATAAATTTTATAAAATATAATTTGAATTCAATTATTTTTATACGATATAAAATTATGCAATATATTGAACAATTCCCTTATTTTTAAGTATAGATTACCCTAAATATCATTTCATATTTTAACAAAATAAATGTCAATCATAAATATTTTACGCTAATATTTTATATATTTATTAATTGTCTGTCCATTTTTATAGTATAAAATATTAAAAAATGTATTATTTTAACGAAACAAATGAATAATAAATCACATAGTACCTCTGCAAATCTCGAATCGATCAACTGCGTTACACAAATCTACAAAATTGGGTTAGAGCAATTTAAGAAATAATCCCTGAAATGTGATTGTAAATATATTTGCTAAAACTGATGAATTCGAAATTTACAGAAACACTATTAGGGAGTATATATGGAAACTTTTTTCGTTAAATTGTTAAACGTTATATATGAACCTTCTTTTGTATCTCATATCACCGACAGGGCCAGTTTCACCAATGTAAAATTAAGTTTAATCTCAGTTCAACGTACTATTAATTTTTTTCTCTAATTCGTAGAATTAGAAAAAGATAAAGAATAAATTAAATCAAGATTAAAGTTAATCTTACATTGGTGGATCTTAAACGATGCACTAATTGTAAGAGATTATAAGCGCGACAATAAAAAAAATACATATACAATCTCCTAAAACAGAATATATCTAAGCAATTTAGTTTACAAATAATGCATCTCACTCGTTCTATCTTTTCGCTTTTGTCTTCCAATTGTTACAGCTGTACAGTGTCAAAATCATTTCTTCCGTATTAATGAATTATATATGGTGTACTTCATAAGTATTTGCCTCGCGTTTATCGTAATTGCATGTCAACATAATCAAATTCCAAGATTAATAACCGGTTTATACATATTTCTCCGCTAGAACGATTCGGATGATTTGCGCGCGGCGGAGCCGCGCATTGAGCGCCACTGTCGAACAATAACTTCGTGCTGCTGCGAGCTCTCAAAATGGCTGTCCTCAGCTATTATTACTTCGGGGAAAAAACAAATGACGACGCGCTCACGCTACGCGAAGAGAAGAGGAGAGACGGAGCCAAGGCCTTTAGTATAACGTATCTTCGTATGTATGCGATCGTATAAATACATGTATATGGTATATGCATGCATGTGGCCGCCGTTTCTCTCTTTCTCTGTCTTCTCCCTCTCTCTCTTTCTCTTCCTTCAGCATGTCCTCGCGTACTACGATACGGACCATACCGAAAACATTGGGACACCTTATGCGTTTCCTGAAACTCGGTTTATCGAAGCGATAACGCCGACAGTTTGCACGAAAACAAAAACAAGCCTGTAAATGATGCGACAAGCGTCCAACTTTCCTCTTATATATATATATATATATATATATATACATATATATATACAAAAAGTGTGTACAGTATATGTATATATTGTCTACGTCTCTCTATGTATGTAGATACCTCTATAGATACCTGTATACACACACGACAAAAATCCGAAGCAATCACGAAAGATACAAGATCCCAAGATTTGGAGCGAAACGATGACTACGTTTACACCGTGCATTTAGGCCGCGACCTATACAATAGATGTCCTTGTTTATCCTGTAGGTTAAAGTCGCGGACTAAGCGCACGGTGTAAACGTAGCCAATAGCTTTGAGAAATGACAATACACAATTCTTCCTTTTGTCACTTTTTAGAATTCCTCGTCTTAAAATTTCATGACTTTTCCCTAATTTCCAGATAAAAATTTTATGATTTTCCTTGACTTTCAATAACATTTTGAAAATTTTTTTTATATTTTCATCCTGACTTGGAAATCATTAAATATTTTGTTGACAGAGCAATTTAACATAGCAATGTAAATTACTATTAACGCTGCTGACAATGCTTGCAATTCATTGTTACGTTGATAGTATTAAAAAATGCGTGAGTATAAGATACACATGTCAAGCCAAGAATTTTTAGTTTCCAGAAAACTTTGCTCGACCGGTTTGACCGAACATTTTCTTGACCATCTTCAATTTCTCAAATACTTTCCTGACTTTCTTTATTTTCACAGTTTGGGACAACCCTGATTCTTTTTCAGAATTGTCGTTTTCTTTAACAATAACGGTTATTCTCTCCAGACACGTCGATATGACATATTTAAAATTAATAAGGTCCCTTTCTACAAATCTCTCGAACTCCTTTCTTTCCCAAGGTATTTTCTCCGAGTTGTTTTTGAAAGCATCTCTATATGTGGTTAAATCCTAAATATTTGGACTACCTAAAAGATTTCAAGGTCAATGGGATCGTAGCAATGTCTTTATTTCTTTCTCTTCTTCTTCTTATTATATATATCTAGAGCTTTTTCTCTAATAACAATAAAAATTATTTTTTCCTTTTATATGATTCATTTATTATTCTTTAGATGTTTCAGACTTCTAGGCTTCTAACGGTATGGAAAAAGTAGAAAAAAATATTATGAGTGCCAATACCTTGTCTAATCTATGGATCCTTCTTAAGACTCAACAAAGGAGCGTGTTAAAATAAAAACCGACCTTTTCCAAAAAGGTAAAAAAAAATGTTAAAAAAACAGTGCCTTTTGTAAATTTTGACCTTCTGGATACAACAAGGTTATTAAAAAGTTCGTAGCATTCAGGGAATATCTCGAAAATTGCAAAAACATTGAAATTTGGATCAATATACCAATTGCAAAAACATTGAAATTTGGATTAATATACAATATATCAATATATATCAATATATATGTTCGTGCTCAATTTTCGAGGGAAGATAAAAATCTTTATATAAAATTACAAAAAACACTCTCTTACTTACACTTTTTGGAGCAAAAATCGGCCTTTTTAAATTTCTTTTCATTAATGCCGCCACATTTTAAATGATCTATAGCAAACTGAAGTAATATATGGATAAAAATCGATAATGCAACAACGTTCCGTGAACAGTTTGATTGTATTAAAAGCTTTTTTTAGAAATCGAAGTCCTCACAATCGAAGCTTACGCTAGAATTACATTAAATTTTACAAATATATGATATAACATTTTTAAGAGATGTCTCAAGGAAAGTGATAATGTTATATATAAGAAATATCAGTTATATTTCCTTATTTTTAATTTCCCTCAACCTTTTCATTGCTGTTGGCAAGTACAGGCTTCGAATTAAGGCTGTCATCCTATGCTATTAGTGTATTTAATGGCTTGGCATTTATTTCATCATAAATGCTTAGCAAGTAAACATTGCTAACGCTTATGTTTTTACTACACTCGAGTAAAAAATAGGAATCGACCAAAATATTTTCTTCATTGTAAAACAATTTGACGTTTCGATAATTTCTATAAAGAACATGCGCTTGCAAAAAGTCATTCTGGTTACAGCGTTTGTCATTATAACAATTACCGCGTGCATTGTGTGTTTTACGTTAAAAGTTTTTGTAGCGGAAGAATTAATAATCTATTGCAATAATAAATTAATTTTATTATTATGAAATAATAATAAAATTATTATTTCATAATAATATAAATATTAATTACGAGCAATGTTTATGGTTTATGTAAATTCAAGATTAAAGATACATGTAGATGTAACACAGAAACTTTCTGTATTTATATTAGTTTTATTATATCCAAAAATATTGATTTTGAATTAAAATTGTATAAGTAATTATATATAATAGCTAGATTTTTTAAATATTCCATTTAAAATTTCACAAAAAATTAATTAAAGATTCAGATTTTCAGAATAATTATTTTTTGAAAATTATATTTAAAACTATTAATTCGCTATTAATGTGCAAACGAAAATTAACAGCATAACTTGCAAATTTCACATAGAATTCCTTCTCTTTTTCCGATAAAATCGACATACTTCTAATAATCTTAGTTTTAACGATAAATTCTTTGTTAAATTTAAAGTCAATTTTTTTCAGCGAAATTATCAAGATATTATCAATTTTCAACATTAAATATTTTCATAAAAATTTATTATAATTGAATAAAAAAATAATTGCAGTTAGAAACTCCATTTTTATAGTTATTATCATGTTAATAAGAATAACTATATTTACAATTCTACATAAAAAATATATACATATAATTGGTACCTAAAAAAAAAATTATATTTAAATTTATATTTAAAATATACATATTTGGTATATAAAATATTTAAAAAAACAATTAAAAAATATATATTTAAAATATATGTTTTTGATATATATGTATAAAAAAAATTATAATTGTATTCTCACTATAGCATTACACTTTAATAATTATACAAATGGAGTTTCTAAGCGTAATTATTTTACTATGCAATTTTGCAGTAAAACGAAACACTTCCTCTTTCAATTGCTCATAATTTTTAAATAAAAATTATTTATCTCAAAATTATTAGCTCCTGAATATTTTCTTCGCTAAGAAAAGTTCGACTTTGACTTTCCCAGAAAAATCTGTCGTTAAATTTGAGATTGCAAGCTACGAAATATTCTTTCCTCCGTTCTAAAGAAAGAAAGAAAAAAAGCTCTATCTTTATCTTTCAAGTTCGAGGCCAGGTGATTCCCACACATGTGGCCTGTGTTGAAGATTTCAACTTTCGTAATGTTCTAAATCAATACGGCAAAACGTTACAGAACAAGGATGTATTGATACGGTGGGGGGACATTTGTATATACAAAACTAGATCTGCGATCTCTCTACGAAACACGGAACGCGATTTACGGAAGCGATGAATTTAAAGTTGAAACATACGCGAGAGGTTTAAGCGACTTTGTGCGTCATACATAGTACGTGTATACGCAGGTTTTCAAAAAAAAAAAATAAGAAAAGAAAAGAAAAGAGAAGAAAAGAAAAAACAAGTATCTTACCGTTTGAAATGCTCCCTGATGCGATCCTCTCGGATGTTTTCCGGCAGATTTCCAACCCACAGGTGACGTGTCTCTCTAACCATTTTGCTCCGAACTCTTCATTTGGGATCGGATGTTGTGGTATCGTTTGGAGGCACTGTACAACGACACACAACCTCGACCAGGGCAGAATAAATTCACCAGACACTCCACCAACACACCGAAAAAACGCGCAATTTTCCGATCGATTAAAACAGGCCGGCCTCCACCCTTCTCCCTCACCCTCTTTCTCTCCTTAGGAACTGAATCCGCCTCCTCCTTGCTCCTTGTCTTGGATATATCTCTACCGACTGGAGAGATTTCAATTCGTCCCTCTCTCCTCCACGCTCTCCCAATTCGATTGATCACTTGGGTAAAACGAGAACCACTAGTCACTAGCCGGTAAGAGGTGAGCCCAGCAGACACGACGAACGCTGTCGTCGTCGAGGACGCGGCACGTCGTAGATACGATCGCACGTGCGTGCGTGGACACGGCAACAGCGGCCGTGGCTATCACCGGGATGATGGTGACGACGACGACGGCGACGGCCACGGCGACAGCGACGTGGGTCTTGCGAGGCTCAGGCTTATGCGCCGCGACGACGCGCTCCGACGTCGAGGACGCGGGGGAGAAGGTCGAGGAGGAGAAAGAGTAGCAGGAGCCTTGATTAAAGCGGACGCCACTGACGATTACGACTGCGAGGATCAGTAGTAACGTCGCCGAAAAACACCACATCGTATATCACTCGTATCGCGTATGGAGATACCTTTTGTGCGGCTTCGCTCCTTCGATCACACGTCACTTAGCCACGACGAGCACTTCCCGGCGCTGGGCGCGGGATCCGATTCATCTCGGCGCGGCATAATTCCACGCGACGCACCCGCGTTCGTGTCGTCGCCGCCGCCGACGCCGCTAACGACGCGCGCGTTTTCTGCTCCGCTCCGTTTCCGTTGGAGCGGCACCACAGCACCGGCACACCAAGACGGCACACAGCGAGACACGACGAGACACGGCACGGCACGACACGACACGACACAGCACGACCACGTCACGGCACGTCACTTTGCGAACGCGCGCGCGCGCGCGCGAACGCGAAAACGCGGAAATTCTCTCGCCGAAGCGACGACGCGGCGACGACGCGGCGACGGTCGCGCTTCAGGCGCCGCGGCGTGCGTGTGCGTGTGTGCGTGCGCGTGACCCACTGCTGATAACGCGAATCAATTCGAACTCGAAACGCGCTCCCTCGCGTTTTCCTCTTCCTCCTATACTCGTGCTTTTTTTTTTTACCCGCGCGAGACACGGCGGTACCCACGTACCGTACACATACACACGGCTATATTTACGCGCGTGCGTTACGTACACGTACGTTACAGATACGTACGGCACGCATGGAGAACATATACACGTAACCGTTGGCTCTCCCAAGTGTATTCACTGCAGGGACAATTGCCTTTCTTTTTTTTTTGCCCCCCCCCC